TTTCCGTGAGCTAAATGAACCTGACCTGGCTTGCCTTCTGCAACATTCCCCGGAACCCGTTGAACTTGAATAACTTGACTTGGCTTTGCACGGAGCCCTGTTGACCTTGACCTGGCTCTGCACCAAAGCCTCCCAGACCTTGTCCGGAACCTTCTCCGGATCCCTGTTGAACCTGACCTGGCTCTGCGCCAAAGCTTCCCACACCTTCTGCGGAACCTTCTCCGAAATGCTGTTGAACCTGACCCGGCTCTGCACCAAAGCCTCCCAGGCCCTCTCTGGAACCTTCTCCGGAACCCTGTTGAACCTGACCTGGTGCACCAAAGCCTCCCGGAACCTTCTCCTGACCTGGCTCTGCACCAAAGCCTCCGAGACCTTCTCCGGAATCTTCCCCGGGACCCTGTTAAACCTGACCTGACCTTGCACCAAAGCCTCCGAGACCTTCTCCGGAATCTTCCCCGGGACCCTGTTAAACCTGACCTCACTCTGCACCAAAGCCTCCCAGACCTTCTCCGGAACCTTCTCCGGAACCCTGTTGAACCCCACCCCGGCGCCTGCACCAGTGCACACCGGAGCTATTCTGGGCTGAAGATCCCATTAGCTTACGCTGTTGGGGAACAAAGACTAGAAACAATGAAAACAAGCAAATTTCAATCCTGATTTGAAACTTCACCATGCCGCCAACTACTCAATCGACTCCGAATCAGCCAAGTAGCTTGGAGTCACCATGGCATCTTGATCATCACTGGGTGCCACAGCTTTCAGTGGCTTTGGCGGCAAATCTTCCACCCCAACCGATTCGTATCGAGCCCAGTGCTGGCTGTGACGAGCGCAATACGCGAAGCGCGCGCCCGCGGGATGCGCACGACCAGCGTTGCGACAAGGGGCACCTGTTATGGTGCAGAAGTACTTCTGTGACCAGGAGGGGAATGGAAAACTGATAAAAGAAGGCAAAAAAAAGTTGATGTGAAAACGATGGTCTCAATATCTATCATAATTTAGGCGCAATCTAATTCATGACAGAGATCCAGCTACCACATTCAGGCTGGAATTACTTGAAAGAAACATTTACAATCTTGAAAGCATCACTAGCTGCAATTCCAACGAGTCTGCAACACACAATCAAACTGCAATGAAGGCAGGCCTTTCACCAAATCCATGTCACCATCTCCCTAAATCATTCTCCACCAAATCATGATATGTATGGGTTTGTCTGAAAATTGGATATCCTAAATCAACTGGTCAATCATCACTTTCCAGAATAACATGACTTAAAGATTTCCATGATATACCCCATTTTCAGACATACCACAGGGATAACATGTCAGGAAATTCAAAGCGACCCGTGTGATGATCGTCCCTTGGTCCACCGTTCCCAGCCTGCCACTGTTCGCCCATGGCAACTGCCCACCCGCAGCTTGTTGCGCGGCGCAGTCCGTGCAGTCCGTGTGCGCTCAGTGCGCTTGGTGCGCTTGCGACCGGGAGCTGCCACTGAAAGGCCAACCCCTGCCAAGGGCCAAGGGATGAAATGAGTTAAACACATTTTCAACATCACATAGGGGTCAGCATAGGTTGAACATGGTTAGTGGCTTAGAAGCTGGGTACGCATATGTTGGAGTTGGTTCAAGTCATTTCTACAAAGAAAACATATATAACAATATATTTGTCTGCAAATACCATGGTTTAAAACGGATTCAAATGGGTTGCTGATGAGTTAAAAGCTGGCTATCTGCATCACAGAATCGGTTAAGGGAAAGTTCACGGGGCAACCCTCAGATTTGATCCTAACATAATGGCTTCCTGAAGCTATTCCATTACACCCCTCCGACCATGCGGCTTGTGGCAGTTGATGAACTCAAAACCACCCATCAATCCATCAGCCATAATTAACTAAGCACCCCCAACATCTCGAAACCACCATCTGCGGCAAATGAGCTTGAAGTATTTGGTCAATCTTAATCCAATTTCTCAGCAACTTGCCTGAAAAAAATCCAGACCAAGCCCCTTCCCAATCGCAGCCCTGCTAATCGCAGCCCTGCTGCCTTGACCTGACTTTGGTGCTTCCGTCTGCTGCGCGGGGCACATGGTCCGCCACAATGCCGTGAAATTGGGTGCCACTGCTGTGGCGGTACGGGGCCGAGACGACAAGGTCCGCAGCACTGGTGCCTTTGCAGTGGATTGCAAGGGTCGCAGCTGTTGGATCTCCGATGGAATCTGCACAGCTTTGGGCTGAAGCTTCTGCTTCTTGCTTGGCGGCTCGACAGCTACGGTGAGATCAGGCGGCACCGGAGCTTCTGGAGCTGCTTGAGCTGGTGCTTCTACCACGGGAGCCACTTGCTGTTTGGGGGAACTCTTAGGATCCACCTTGGATGTTTTGGCTGATGCCTCGAGTGGCTTCAAGTTACTGCTGACCTCCTGTGTCGGTGTAGGCAGCGGTGCTCGGGCAAAATGCTCCAGCAGTCGATTCAGCAATGTGCCCTTGGTCCCTTGGAAGTTCAAGCCG